CCATATCCGCGCGCAAAAGGGTCGACGCGGGAAAAGAAAGTCCTACGCCTATTCGTATCCTCGCAAAATTCCGAGAGTTTTCCCCAACGCGACCCAGAACATTCACACACAAAAAGGACACGTCGAAGTTCCGCTTATCCCGGAATTCCCAACTGCCGGGCCCAATTCCCAGTGCGCTCGCTAAGRCGCACGTAAATTCCTATGTATTTCCCGAATTGCAACGAAAAAGCAGAACCCGAGAATCATGAAAGCTTCCGAAAAGATGGGGGTCCAAAATGCGGCACCCGAAATCAAGAAAACGAAATGGGGTTTTATGGGGTTGGTATGATACAAGCAAAAAGGGTACGAAAGATAGTCCGGGTTCGGGAAATAGTTCGTCACATATGTGACGCTCAGGGGGTTCCAAAATTATGCGATCTCCTGATTGCATGTTATGGCGGAGAAGGAGAGATGAAGGAAGAGGGATGCATGAGGAACCAAGTGTATCAGCAGATGATCAAGCCAGAGTTCATGTTGACGCCAACTTCAATTGCAACTTCTTGACTGTACGGAAGTTCGAACAAGGGGTAGAAGAAGACGGAGCATCAGGAAGAAGCACAAGGAACGATAACTGAGCCGCGGATGAGATGGCGACAACATCCGTGGCAAGATCTCCGCAGCCCTGTCATATGGAAACCCCTATTCTCCACGCTGTAGAGATCGTCCATGTGACGCCATCATGGTCCACCTGGTCTCCGTGGGCCCTGCGCCCCAGCTCGTCGCGGCTCGTCGAATCAGAGCGTAGGTGGACGTCATCGTCCTTGACGTGATCTTCGCGAAACTTCTGATTCGTGCCGTCTTCTCTTGTCGAATGGTTGGAGGGAGAGAGTGGGGTTGGGATTAGCGTCTCGTGGGGATGGGGAAGTAGACGCGGTACATGGAGGGGAACTCACGGGGACGACGGGGAGGAAGTGGGGGTAGGTAGCCATTCATCCCTTCTACCGTCACCGGAAGCTCCTCATATCGGATGATCCGGTGGAAGCGAGGAAAGCGATCGCCTCTACGAGGGAGAGAAGCGAGGTAATCGCGATAGAAGGAGGAGAGGGTGCGGAGGAGCGCCGCTCGAAAGAACTCGTAGTGGCGACAGGCGGGGATTGTCCCCGTGGCTACGCAGTAGACTTCTACCACGTTGCATCACTCCCATGCAGCGCTGAACAACAGGATATGCCAGCAGAACGTGGGGGGAGCGGGCTGAAGTGATGGGTGGGGGTAAACGGTAGCGAGTAGGGTAGAAGTCGCAAAAGAGATGGGGAAGGAAGGGATGGAGGGGGAAGGTGACGGGGGTGCGTATCTGTTCGAGGGTGAGAAAATCAAGGGGACGGTGGGATAACGTCCGAGGACGAAGGCCTATCGCCCGCATCGGCACGTGGGCGAACTGGGGGATGGGTGGGGCTTGAGGAGGAGGGGGATCTGCTCCGTCTCCGTCGTGAGGTGCTTGGGGTGGCGGCTGCGGGGTCGCCATCTTCGGGCTTCGACGGCTCCAGATTCCTGGTCGGATCGTCACCGATGCGTAGGCCTGCTCCGCTGGCTAACTCCAGCTGGCGCTTCCCGGTGGCAATTTCTTCACACTTGCGTGCGGCCTCAGGATCTTCCGCCTTCGTGCCAGTACGCGCCGCTTCCTCCGGCAAGGCTTCCCACTCAGATCCGGTTTCTTCTTCCTCCTCTTCTTCTTCTTCTTCACTCAGCTCGCCCTCGCTATACTCGCTATAGCTTCCTTCCTCCGACGTTTCAACCTCATCGTCGTCGATCACCACTTCCTCCGCCTTCGGATAGAAGGCGTAAGGGATGATGTCGTAAGGCTTCAGATACTCCTGCCGTGATGGTAGCGTATCTTCGTTCCTGGGCTCCTCCAAGCACGCAGTCCACTGTAGGTACGGATCCAATGACCGCTTGAGAACGTACGGAGCGGGGCTGTTGTCACTTTGCGAAAAGATGTCGGGCGAGAGATCGTCCGCCAATTGCACGATCGGCGCGATGAGCTCTTGCGCAATCAACTGGCGGCGGCCCGACCGTACCGATCCAAAGAGAAAGCCGAGAAGATCGCCCTCGATGTTAGTCTTCCAAGCTTGTATGATCAGCAGTTCCAAATTTTCGATCCACGCAGGATGCTCGCTGGTCTGCGTCCACATCACCTGTACTCAGGCCAAGCAGAAGGACAGCTCGTCAAAAGTTCCGCGCCACAGTCGCATATGCCCACGATTAATAAGCGGGACAGAAAGAGGCTCGAACGAGAAGGAAAGAGAAGGATGAAGATCGGACTGCCAGAAGGTGGGGAAAAGAGAGGGGAGACCGAAGATGGAGAGAGGAGCGAGGGGATCGGCGTGGTTCATTGGGGACGTGGGAAAGGGATGAGGGTGGGGATTGCAACAGGCGGCTCGCGCGGAGAACAACGAATCTCGCCAAGATCCGGTGCAAAGGTCGGGATGAGGTTGTGCCCTAGCCGGGCAAGACCGTGCTGCCACACGTTGGACACTTGCTCCGTCCACTCTCGCAGCGAGGTCAAGATCGCGGTATGCCACCGTGGATTGAGCGAACTGATGTCGCCGCTGAAAGCCGCAACCGTGGTGACGTGGCTCGTTCCGGGATCCGCTCGCCGATGAACTGCTATTACCTCCGCCAGTACCACTGCCTGTGAGCTCCCTTCGAATCGAAACGCGGYGGCGGCACACACACCCACGTCGCAGAAGAACTGCGCCAAACGTCGAAGATCCGTATTAAGCCGTGGATGACGAACTTGCCGAATTTCCGAGATGTGGCCATGTGGCTGCAACAGTTGTTCGTCAAGAGCCCTCTCCGTGATGAAACTCACGGCGAGGTTGGAGAGGAAGACGAAGGGCAGGAGGGAGAGAGCGGAGAGAGAGTTAGATCGTCGTTGTTCTCCTCGTTTTCGGAGGAGGGAGAGGGAGGAAGATGAGAGGGAGGAAGAGGACGAAGGTAGGAGGTATGCCGGACGATGGGGACAAAGCTATGGCTGACACTAGCCTCAGGCGCGATGCGCACCGTGTTGGCGCCGTTAGGACCGAGCTCAACAACGGGAAAGCAGCCAGAGAACTTGGAAGCGAGTTTCCGGTCGCGTGCACATTTACGTACCTGCACTAGGTCCCCTAATTTATATTGATGCTGGGGCCCAGCATTTCCATTCCGAGCCTCGTAGCTACGGACCTGCCTACCGTGGGGCATATCGGTCATCCTTTGTCTTTTTCGGGCTAGCTTCGGGACAGCCCGCTCCATTAATTCGGTGTACCTTTTGGCCTTGGCCTTGAGTGCTGCACGGGTGTCTCTACCCCCTGTTTTGGCAATTTTCGAGTTACCCCGGTAGTCGACACAGGGAAGGCTATTAGTACGAAGCTGAAAAGGGGTAAACCCCGTGGACTCGTGAGGGGTGGCCCGGTGGATCCCGACGATCTGATATACGATCTCGGTCCATGGACGCGTGTCGTGTGCCGCTAAATTCCTGCGAAGGGCGGTTTTAATCATACGGTTGGGGTTCTCAGCCAACCCGTTCGACTGGGACACGTGGGGTGCCGTATGTCGGAGCGTGACGCCCCTTCGTGCGAGCAGTTCCTCTACTTCTCCCTTAAATTCGGACTCATTGTCGGTTAGAATTTCTTCCGTATCTAGATGGGTATAGAGGAACCGTTCGATGTACGTGGCTATTTCGGTGGCTTTTCGGGTCTTACAGGGATAGACCTCGATGTACTTGAAAAAATGGTCTATTAATATTAACAGGATATAATATTCACAGCGGTTTGGGCCAGGTGGCATGTCGATATCTGTTGTGTCCATACTGACTCACTGGAAGGGCCGCTCTACCTCCGTTGGTACTATCGTGTTTGGTCCCCGTATTGGGGCGCGATCAGCGGCACAGACCAGACAGTTGGCGACAATGTATCTGACATCATCTCGTATGTTGGACCAGAATCATCAGTTCTGGTCTATAGTTGCCTCCGTGACACGTATCGCGAAATGAGCAGCCTGTTCTTCGTGAGCCGATCGGATCCAATCATATCTCTGGAATGGATGGGGAACCGTCAACCACGAAACCGATCCGCCAGTTTTACGCTTCTCCAAATGACCGTTGATCCACCGATAGTCCCGAGATCTCTCAGTTGCCCTACGTCTGTCGTGTTTGGTGAGGTGACCCAATGATAATCCCGCTAATTTCGCCAATAAGATTTTATCCGTCCAAACCTCCGCTCGTCGGTATTTTTCGTCGTATTCAGGGCCGTCTGTACGGGCGGCCTCGAATCGAACCTCCGTGAGGGAGTTTGTTTGTTCTACACAGGGGGCACCTCCATTCCTTGCTACTCGTCCGATATCGAACGCAGGCCTCGTGCGCACAATTGACACACGTGGCACATTCTACCCAATCGACAAACCCGGTTTCGAAAGGATGACAGTCGACCCCATAAAACCGTGCAATACACGTACAAAAATAGCAGAATTTATCGGGGAGGGTGGCAAAGAAAGCTGAGGAAGTGAGAGCGGCAGAATTAGTAGGAGAAGAAGGGGTTGCAGAGACAGGTGGGGTAGTCATGATGACAGAGGAGGAGAGATGGGACCGAATTGCGGAGAGGGTAGAACAGACAAATTGGTCCTCGTGTCACTTACTGCTTTGACAAGATCTTCACTTGGTCGTACCGAGGTCCAACCTTTTGTTCGGGTTCGTTCCACGGAATCACCTCCTCATTCTTCTGAACTTTCTCAGGTCGGTGCAGTCGTGTCAGTCCGTCCGCATTCCCGTGTCTCTCGTGCTTCCGATGATGAATGTCAAAGTCCATGCTTTGTAGCACCGTTGCCCATCGCCCGATCATGCCAGAGTAATCCTTCGATTTCTTCAGAGCCAACAGGGGCTCATGATCGGTTACCAAGGTGAATTTCCGCCCGTATAGGTAAGCGCGAAAGTGACTGATTCCCAAGAGAGCCGCGTAGCATTCTCCCGTTGGAGCGACGTAGTTGCGCTTGCAGGCGGACACCGATTTGGACGCATACTCCACCACGCTCTCCAGTCCACTTGGTCCCACCTGGGCAAGGATCGTCGAAATTGCCTCTGGCTGCAAGTCAGTAATGAGAACAAAAGGCTTTTCGGGATCCGGCCTTATAAGGACCTGAGCCGAAATGAGAGCGGCCTTGAGTTTCGAAAACGCTTGATCACACTCCGGCGTCCAGATCAACGACTGATCTTTGCGCAACAGATTTGTGAGGGGTCCCGCAATCTCCGTGAAGCCCTTGATAAATCTTCGGTAGTACGAGGCCAAGCCCAAAAATGCGCGAACTTGCGTAATAGTCGTAGGCACCGGCGCATCCCTGACAGCTGCCACCTTCTGCGGCTCCGGTTGGAGTCCCTGGTCTGTTACCACGTGTCCCAGGAAGGAAATGGTGGTAAGGAAAAACTGGCACTTCTCAAACGCCACCTTGAAGCCCGCATCTCGTAGCGCATGCAGCGCCCATTCGATGTGCTGCATGTGTCCATCGTAGGAACTCGAGTACACCAGAATGTCATCCATGTACACAATCACGCAGTAGTTGATGATGCTCTGTACCAAACGTGTCTTCCGCACGAAATTCTGAAAAGCCATATTCATGGCTTGCTGAAAGGTCGAGGGGGCGTTGCAGATACCCATCGGGCATCGAATCCACTGCCACATACCCTTGAAGAGCACAAACGCCGTTTTTGGACGATCTTCTTCTCGAACGAGAAGATTGTGGAACCCATGGCGAACATCAAACTTGCTGAAAAATCGAGCACTCCCAATTGCATCCAACAACTCATCAATCCGGGGGAGGGGGTACACATCTTTGATCATGATATCATTCAACTTCCAGTAATCAATGCAAATGCGAATCCCTCCGGCCTTTTTGGGCACAATTACTACGGGAAAAGACCATGGACCTATTGCGGGTTCGATCCATCCATTAGCTTCGAATTCTTTAATCCGCTGAAAAGCGGTCACTCTTTGAGCTGGCGAGTATCGGTAAGGAGCGCAACTAATGGGCGGATGATCTCCCGTGAGAATGGCATGCTGGATCACATTAGTTAAGCCGATGTCATTATCGTGTACGCTCAATAATTCTACGTAGCCATTTAAAACACGGATTAACGATTTCCGAAGTTCCGCGGGGACGTGGCTCGGTAGGGTGATTGTTGATTCCTCGGGAATCTGAAGGGGCATGTCGATCCAATCAACCGGTCGTTCCCGCCGATCATGGACACTAGAAAAAATGAAACTACTGGTGCGAACAGAAAAGACAGTTGCTATCATCTGAGATTCAGCGGGGCTGATCATTTGAGTTTCTTTAGTTTCAGCATCACTCTCTAAACCAACCGAAGTTGGTTCCACAGTTAGTCCCGTTAGATCCGTCATCTCTTGCATCAGATCAGGTACATCACCTACCGATGCTTCTGCTTCCTGTTTAATCAAAGCGATGGTTTCTCCTGTCGTTAGTAGCGATCTGGGCGGAAAAACAGAAACATCCAAATACTGTTCCGTTTGCTGATAACGCGTTCGTAAGGAAAGTGCTCCCTCATACAAGGTGCGAGGGGGTTCCAAGTCATCGGCCAGGTCGGATACTTGCATTATGGGTTCCCCTAGGAGGACGGAAGGACTGATTTGGGTTGTCAGAGGCGCGAGCGCGCCGTCTCCTGAATCCACGTGGAAGCTTCGGACAGTGTCGGGGCACACTCGAAATTCTTCGGGAATTTCCTGTTCGAAAAGTTCGACCAGGTGCTTCCATTCATCCTCACTAGGCAGTTCTTCTTAGTATTCCTATTCCCCGATTCCGCTACCGATGTCCGAGGAAGAATACTCCTCGGGATTAATGCATCGAATCATCCCTATTTGGGCCGAGTTGGGGGTTCGTTTTATCGTTCAGATGGAAATTCGCAAGGAAACAGTTTGAGGCTTTCCCCCAGTTTGCGTGAGCACCAGTTGTTTTGAATCGAAATGCAGACGGGCCCCTACCGCCATCGCCCAAGGTAGTCCTAACAATACAGAATAGGAACGCACATCTATTACTAGTGCATTAACAAGGACGTGTACTCGTCCAACCTTTACAGCCACATTCTTAATAATGCCCACGATGTTCATTGCTTCCTCGTCGGCAGAGACATAATTGTCTTTGCCAGATTGAGGAAGAATGGATCCGAGTCGTCCTGTCTTTCTGACAGTGTCTAATGAGATGGCCACTGCAGAAGACCCCGTGTCGATAAGGACGTTAAACGACTTGCCCCAAACTTCACAATCACCTTCCGCGCTCTTCCACTGTACCGACCGAGCTCGTACGAAGTGATCATTCTCTGCTAAAGAGATCGCTGCTATACGTGCGGCTTCAGGTTCGCCGGCTTCGGGTTCGGGCGGTGCAAATTCCTCGCCTCCTTCCTTCTTTTTTAACATTCGTTGTATGCGCTGGTACGTGAAGCGCTTTTGATTTTTCTTGGCAATGTTGCAAGAGTTTATCATTCGCAACTTCAGATATGGTGAGCAAATGTCCTACTGGGATAGGAACGCGAATATCCAGTTGCTTGAGCGCTCTCAATACATCGATTTCTCCTGTCTGAAACTGCGGACCAGGATTGGATTCGCGATCGACCCATTCGAGATCATCAGGGGCCGATCGGATCGCTCCGACCATTCCTGCGAGATGAAGATATTCAAGTGGATCGACCAAGTCAGCAGCGTCAGAGGAGGAAGCTCCTGATGTCGACGCCGTCGGGAGGGCTATTCTGGGGCATATGCCACGAGCTCCCCTCCTTGGGTCGTATCCATCAATGCGCCCACTCGTCCTTGATTCAAGGCCACAAGGGCCGCAGCAGGTGGGGGCTGATTACGCTTTGGCTGCGGACAGTCTCGGGCGAAATGTCCGAGCTGTTTGCAGTTAAAACACTCGATCTTTCCTCCTGGATTAGCTGGGTGAGGGAACTGAGGTGCGTATCCTGGTGCAAGCGGGGCGGGCAATAGTGGAAATGACGCGGGGGCAGGCCGAGCAGGGGTCGGGTTAGGCCGTATGGATCATTTGGGCAAGATGTAAATTGGTTAAGGCCGGCGAGGGGAGTTTGTGGGAGATTCTGCTCTTAACTACCGCTATCGGTTGATTCATCGGGGGTGAGGAAGAAGAAACAGGCGGGATATCGGAAGCGATCCCGTCGGGAAGGTCATGGTCGGGGCGGGGATAAAACGTTCCACCGCCCGCAACCACGATCGTCTTTTAGCCGCTACATCCTGTATGGTGTCCGTAATATCTTCATCTCCCTGACTGATATATTTTTTTGTATCAGCCAGGTCTAATTCCAACGCTTTAGTGATGATAGCGGATAACTTGTGTGTCTTTGCCGGGATCTTTTTCTGTAACTTCCCTTTCAACGTCGGACTTCGTAGGTGATCGATAAATAAATCTCGAGCGGATTTCTCGTCTCGCCTAGATTTGTCCAACGTGGTTTGAAATCAATCCACGAAATCGGGCAACAATTCCCCTGGTCCCTGTGGCCGAGTTTTGAGCACGTACCAGGCAGCATCTTCACTGACCGTATTGAACCGAGCCAAAAAGGCTTGTTTGAAAGTATTCCAATCTACCCACGTATGTTTTTTAAACCAGTCATGCGACGTATTGCGGAGTAGCAAGGTAAGAACGCGGGGAAGATCACCCCTGCTGTAGCCTTGAGCTTCGATGGCTTCCAACCAAGCCTCGGGATGGGTATGGTTAGGGAAGAAAGGGAAAGGGGCAGGAATGCTAACTATCACTCTAGTACTGTCTGCCATTGGCATTGTGGGTGCAACCGCACCAGATCGAGACCTGGTCACTGGGCGATCTCGACGAGCTGGTTGAGGGCTTCTCCTACCTCTCGCCAGTTCGACTCACTATCATCAGAACCAACACGTGTCGGCTCCGATACTAACCTCACGCCCTGTGTCGTCTTTCGTTCGGAGTGCTGGATGTGCGGAAAGAGGCCCAAAAAAACAGCAAGATGGGGTGTGCCAAGGATTTTTGGAAATTGAGCGTGGGGACACAGACGGAACTGAAATCCCCCGTGTTGGTCCGATGAAGTAAGTCGGTTGCTTTCGCGCGTCGCGGAATGCGCGCGCGGGCACGGCGCGAAAAGAGAAAAAAAATCCAAATTCAATCCAAAAAGTATTGTCGGACTTCCCATCGTGCTACGACCCTTCGTTTAGAGCAAAACGGCTTCGGCACGCTTCGCGTGTCTCGTCTTCGTATTAAGTCCCGACGTTGTTCACCGGTTAGTTCTGAATCCAACGTGGAGGGTCTCAGTCGCATGGCTCTTTCTCTGTGTTCGTCTTCACTCCGTATGCGGTAGCGGAAACCCTTGGATTCGTAGCGCTCAAAGCGCTGACACTCGGTGCATAGAGTGCGAGGCCAGTGGGGTTCTACTGCCGTCCACGGGATGACGATCAACTCGTTAAATGGCAACAGTATTGAGTAAGGTGGAAAGTGTGTATCGATAATGACAAACCCAGACTCTACGAACCCTGAACAACGATTTCCTGGAGGGAAGTAATAACGTCCGTCGATCCGTGTGACAGCTTCTCGTACGTCCCACTCGCATACACGTGTCCTTTCCTCGTTGTAAGGAAAAGGTCGCGTTGACGCGGGAGATACGGGAGGCTGACGCCCGATCGAAGGGCGTTGGTCAGTCCACATGTCAATCAATTGCGAAGATCCCGAGACGTCATCAAGGAAAAATACTCGCACAACCACCAATCAATTCTTTCCGATACGAGAGAGAGAAAACACTCATCAGCTGATCATGCATGTAACTGAGGGACCGACCCACGACTCAGGTTTAGTAAGCCACCGCGGCGTTGATCCCAGGCGCCCTGTTTCTCGAGGCCGCCCTAAAGATCGGTTGCAGATGTCGTGCAGCATAAGGCAGATG